CCCTAAATCCTTCAGGTTTATTGCTGCCTTTAGACCACTCCATCAAAACAGCTTGATGGCAGCTGATCTTCAGGCATCCATGATTTCTGTGTCTACTACTTTCTTACTGGCAGAACTTGCTGCTTGCTGTGACCACTGTGACTTCCACGGGTTACTCAACTCCTAGTTTAATGCAATATCGCCCTCTTATTTCTCTTTGCCTCTCCACTTTTGCACAGGCATCAAAGCTGCAGTCATCACCATGGAAACTAGCTAGAGAATTAAAAAAAAAAAAAAAAAAAGAAAGAGGGAAAAAAGAGAGGACATGCCTCATCCAAAGCTAGTACACTGCCACCCACAGGGTGCTCGCGTTAGAGAGCCTTGAAGTACAAAGCAACCCTGCTCAATGTAAGCACATAACCACTCATGGCAGCAGCCTGCATTCAGACCCAAATAGATGCATCTTCTGTGTCAATTATTCCCTCATCACAGGGCAGCGTTTGCTCCTCGTGCCAAGATCACGCCGGTGAAATCCAAGGTTGATCCACCCAGCCTCTCTTTGCTATCTTTACAACGTAAGAACCTTTTGTTTTCATGCACGTTTAATAAGCAACGTACTCAGGTGGGATGCATTGCTTCATCCCCTGCGATGGCTTATTCCCAGAGTGCAGACATGGGCATCCTGGGAAAACAGACCCATACAATTCCAGAGGGAGCTGCAGGGTTGGGTTTTATCAGGGATCAGGCCACGAACTTGCAGCTTCTTTCTATGAGGTATGGAACACCCACGAGGATTTGGGATTTCGGGGAGCTGGCTTTTCTCGATCCATAAAGCTTCGTTACTGGCCAATAGTAACTAATATCAGATTTTACTTTAGGAAGATCTCCATGGTGATCTGAGCCTGCTGACATCAGCTGGGTTTTTTTTGGTGTGGATGTAAGAACAAAAAAGACAGTTTAATTAAAGGGGAAAAGACCTCCAAAAATTGGACAAAGGATGGAAGAACTCATATACCTGCTGTAGTCCAGTTCAGTCCTCCAGGCAGAAGCAAAACACTCTGAAGAAGTCCCTCTCTGATGTAGCTTATGTCATTGAAGTTATTTAAAAAAATGTTGAGTATATGGCATGCTCTATAATTTACTGAAAGAATAAAGGAAATTAGCTGATGGGAAAACAAGCACAAACAAAATGTAAAAAAAACAAAAACAAAAAAAAACCCCAAAAAAACCCCAACAAAAAAACCCCCCACACCACAAACATAAATCCCTGAATCCAAAAGAATCACAGTAATTTTTACAGTGGTTTAAGAGAGATTTTTCAGACCTGCCTGCAGTATTATGGATCAGCTCTCTAGCACAAATCTTTAAAACGAGAAAGGGGAAAAAAAGGGAAAGGTATTCAGACCCAATTTGTTCTCTCTGCTATATGTTCCAACAACTTACAACTCAAAATACCTTTCTAATCAAGGAAACTGCTGAGATTTTCACAAATTCAGAAGGGCATTTTTTTTCATCTCATGTTGCTGAAAACGATTGGATGTTTGTTTCCTGCATGACTTTATTTTTTCCCCTCTCTCTTTTAATAGGTTTTACAAATACATCCACACACTTATTTCAAACTGACATTCCAGAAATGAATTAGATTTCGTATTTTTATCAGGCGCAAGCCAAACAAGAAAATAATTTAAAGTAGCAGGTAATTACACCAATGAAATATTTATGGAAACTGATTACACCAAAACACTCAGTTTTATCTCAGGATATTCGTGTTTTATATAACTGTGCAAAAAAGCAACCTTAGGAGTTATACAAAGTTATAGCTCACTCCTTTTACAAATGAGAACACAGGCAAAGGTGTCCAGAAGGCTCACCAAGTGCGAGCCACTGTTTGCAGTAACACTTACACTGGGGAGGTATAGCTATGAAAGAGCTGTCTTCACTGGTCTTGAGACAGCCCTGGAGAAATAGTAATATAGGAAGTCATCCCTTCTCCAGCGTCAGCAGAGCCCATGCTGTGATGGGTGATGCACCGAGGGCACTGGGGGTGTTCAGCCTGGAGAAGAGGAGGCTGAGGGGAGACCTTATCGCTCCCTACAGCTGCTTGACAGGAGGGGGGAGCTGGGGGGGGGTCGGTCTCTTTTCCCAAGTAACAAGCAAGAGAACAAGAAGAAATGGCCGGGGAGGTTTGGATTGGATATTAGGAAAAATTTCTTCACCGAAAGGGCTGTCAAGCACTGGAATGGGCTGCCCAGGCAAGGGGTCGAGTCCCCATCCCTGGAGGGATTGAAAGGACAGGCAGATGTGGCGCTTAGGGACATGGCTTAGTAGTAGACTTGGCGGTGCTTGGTTAACGGTTGGACTTGATGATCTTAAAGGTCTTCTCCAAGCGAAATGATTCTACGACAGAGGTGGAGCTGGTGCTGGGGCACTGCTGGATGATGTGATCGCTTGCTTTTCCCTGCCAGCCTGAGCACAGTCTTGTATTTGTTGGCCCTCTCTTACTCTGAGGCTAAACTCTGTGGGACACGCACAGCCTCTTCATTGCCTGTTTCTACTGAACCTGGACCCAGGAGAGCTGCCAGGCACTTCTGCAATACAAAAAATTATCGCCGAGTTTAGAGCCCAGCGTGCTTCAGCTCCCACGTAACTGCAAGCCCCCGGCCACCTTGTGAGCATCCTTCCTGAGGAGGAGAGAGGGAAAAAGGACTGGACAGACCTCACAGGAACAGCACTGGAAAGCCTCCCACCGCAACACAAGTTTTACTCTCAACACTGCCAGCTGAAATTAAGCAATAATTTAATCTGTGCACGTTAACTTCAGAGTGAGCAATACAGAAAAGGCTTCTCTATTGACACTTCTGTAATGGCTGGCATCTGCCTCCCCATTACTTCTAATCGTGAGGCAGTTATCTAGGTTGCTAGGTCATTCCAGAGCTCCCCAAAGTATTCAACAATATATTGGTAGATTAAAAAAGTTGTCCTTTGTGAGAATAAGTGCACTTCATGCCAGAAGGCAGGTCTTCAGGATGCTGAATGTTAGATTTTTGTGTCATTGTACCACTCCACTTCTGTAAATGTGTCAGCAAAGCTAGCGGGAAGAAGTTTCAGGTCCTTACAAAGGCTACATATTTATATATAGTGTGGATTTTTATATAGACTCTAAAAATGGAAAGCGACTCCCATATGGATCAACAAATAGTTATCTATAAACACAATATACAGGGGCTGGAGTGGAGTCATATTTAATTCATTCTAGACCTAAAGCCACCATTTATGTGACAAGTCACAGAACAGAAAAAGAGTTTTCATGCCAAATACAGCCCCTGCATTGGTGCCAAGGCCAAAAGTGCAAGAGCAAATGAAGAACTTGCAATTTGTCCCTTGGGGGCCTTTCACAAGAGCCTGCAAACAGCAGATGGGAAAACACCACTGCACCCAGGCACAGCCCCTGCGCCCTCCAGCAACCCCAACAACAACTCGGGTGCTGCTGGTTGCACTGCCAGGCTAACGCCACCCTTCCCGTGTGCATTGGGGGGGGGAGGCAGTGTCTCTGGCTTTGTCCCCTGATGCCCTTCTGCTCTGGCCTCCAGCAAGGGTCGCCTCAGACTACAGAGAAATTTTCCCAGCCATTGCCTCAGGATTTCTGAACTGTCTAAAGGGCCACATATTTGACAGCAACTACAGGGTTTCTTCTGAAAGCAAGATGCATAAGTCATTGGAGTGGACATGCACAGAATACAGGTTTGGAGGGTAGCACAGATATATTACTAACAAGAAGTGGGAAAGCTTTAAAAATACCAAGTGGCCTTACATGGAATCAGCAAATTGAAGGTTATGTGATTTCTGCCACCTTGATTTAGAGAAGAGAAATTGCCTTCTGAAGATCCCAGGGGAGAAAACTTCAGATAGAAGGAAAGATGATTAGTTCACATATTTGCCAGCTTTTCACTAAACAACAGTTGATGACAGCATTAGAGGTAGGAAGGAGCAAGAAATTAAGGGATAAGAAGCAGAGCAAAAGTCACCGGATAAACTCTGCATGGAAAAAGACAGAAAACTTGAAGTCAAATATATAAAGCGGTTTATCTTAGAGGCAAGGGCAAGAATGCCAGCTTTCTGTCTCACATTGTAATGGCTAGCTCTCCAAAGAAACATTGCATGTATGCCTGCCTGTGTTTTTCTGAATATTTCCTTAGCCAATATGGGGAACAAAGATAAGCACCCTTCCAAGCATCCTCTTCACTGTTGAGAGTCATTACATTTTCCCTCTGTAAGTATTGTGCAGATATATCAGGATGAAAATAAATATAAAAGATACAGTTATTCTAGAAGAGTACATGCAGTGAAAATTACACACACAGGGATTGGAGCAGTCTCTCGATTCTATAGACCGGCGTGGTTCTGGTAGCATCCCAGAAATACTGCTGGAACTAGTAACGTATCTAAATGCTGAAGTTAATTTTACGTACTCTTGCCATATAGAAGGTATTTTTCTAATTCAGATCAAATGAAAAGCGAGTTCCAAACTAGTGCAAAATGAATAATGAAGATATGGAAATCAAAGGATCTGAAACAGAATTTATACGTTACAAGTTTCAAGGAAGGACAGATGCCAGTACACACATTAAACACGGTGACACTTCCCTAGAGAATTATGATAATACTTCACCCTTAAATAACACACTCAAAGAGCTTCACAGACATTAACTAATTAATCTTCAATCCTCATGTGGCTGTAAAAATTATACAGTAGGGAAACAAGGTCAGATCTTCAGAGGAGATCAAGCTGAGATTAAACAGTCTGCCCCAAGGCAACAGACTGACGTGACAGCAGAGACAGGGTTACAGCTCCCACGACCAACAGCCACCCCACCACCAGGAAGCCTTCGGAGGAAGGCTGATGGCCCCAAATATCTCCAGCAGCTGTCCAAGCACAGCAAAAGGCTTAGGCAGGGTCAAGATGTCTCCCCATGCTCAAAGACAAACCCATAAATACGTCTCAAGGGACGGAACTTCCCTACCCCGCTGCGGCTCTGCAAACCGGCACGTGCTCCGGGTCCGTGGGAGGAGGCGGACCCCGAAGCAGTATTGCACCTTCGGGCTGGCACCAACCCAGGACTTCTTCCTCCTAGACCCAGACTGCTGCATGCCAGGTAACCATCACCACTTTAGCTTCAAATACCTGGGGGCACATTTTACAAACTACAGCCACAGCAGGGGATGCACTGGCACACTTGGTCTCCTGGGAATCAAGCAATTCCCAAACATGAAGAGCATGACTCCAAGCGCAACAGGAGATCAACCCACGCGTCCTGCAGCAAAACACTCCCTGTGCACGGGAAGGCCAAGTGGCAACAGCTCTGGTGAACCAAAACGGGCTGCAATGCTCACAGCAATGAAGTCAAACCTATCACCTATCTGAAGTGCCATACAAGCCATCAGTCAGACTGAAATTAAGCTTTCTCCTAATGAAGGCCACATGGAGAAGGGGCAGGGCAATAACAGCATTCCCCTCTGCAAAGTGCCCCGAAGGAGGCACTAGGGGTGATCCCAACCAACTGCCCTGCTCGGAGAGGCACTGCGATGGTTTCAAGTGCTTTCAGAGTAAGAAAGCTCTACAAACAGAATAGCTACAGCAAAATTTTGCTGCATGCTCTGAAAAAAAAATAATAAAATAATAAAACAAGGAGAGCGTGCTGGTGGCCTGGCCAGAGGACACTTTCTCCAAAAAACCCTCAAGTTCTGCCATTTATTGTGGCATTTGAATTGCTGCTGACAGAGAAGAGTTGTCACTTTTGCCTACAGCTGCGATGCCAAGAGGCATTGACTCTCGGCTTTTTCAGAAAGTGCTTTAGAGTACTTTGAAACTAGTAAGGCACTGTTTAAAAAGGTTCAGTTCTCACTGCAGCACTGTCAGAAGATTAATCAATTAAAAGCTTGGCTAGGGCCAGCAGCAGTGTGTCTGCCAATCCTGGGCTGCCTTTGTGCGAAGATCTGGGGTTTGCTTTTGCGAAGTAAACCTGCGTCTAAACTTCTAATTGTATTACAAAAAGGTAAGTGCTAGAAAACAGCTGGATCTCATAGCTCTAGCAGAAAGTTATTTAAAAAGCCAATGGCCTAAATGACACCTCTTTTTTTTTTTTTTTCCTCCTTTGGATACTGCGTTGGGAGGAGATGGGTAACAGGTTGCATTAGGCTGCACCAGTTCCAGCCCTTGTGCAGAGGTGCTATGCAAATGATCCAATAAACATGAAAATTTGTTTAGGAACTAAAAACAATAGCAATAATTCTGTGTTTCCTCAGCAAAAATAAAAAGTCTTAAAGAATTAAGGCCAGGAACAAAGACATTGGGTAGCTGTCATACCAGACATGGCCAATAGAACATGTTTCCACACACTGAATAATCTCAAGAATAAAAATGTTTCTCTCTGGTCTGAACAGCATCAAAGTCCAACAGTACGATACAACCAAATATCAACCACAGTACGATAAAATACCAATTTATAAAGAAAACAAAGAATAGGGATCAGAAAAAAGGCATTATTTTGACCAAAACAAACAAACAAAAAATATTTCAAATATTTTACTTGGAAATTGTACATTTCAACTAAGGCCTTGAAGTTCAGCAGAATGAGATGGAGATGACTTTTATTGTCCTTACGCTGTGGGTCAGTCAGGTTTGGGACTTTCCAAGAGTTGCAGCTTGCATGCACAAGCAGCACCTGGTCAGCAAAACAGCAGGGCTCTTCCTCTCGTTCCTCATTGCCCTACAGCAATCGTGATCTAGCCCGAGCTCCTGCGGGTCCGTGCGGGAACCCTTCTCAGTCAGACATGGCAATGCTGCTCCATGGGACCTGATGGGCCTCCCAGCAACCTTCCTTGCCCTGGCTGTGCAGAGCCGGGCAATTCCTCATGCAGCCAAAACAGGGGACAAGTCAGTGGAGGGGTCAGCCTGAGGATTAAAGCACCAGTTCTAACATGCAACTAAAACCGGCTGGAACAATGAGCCCAAATGGAGAGGAGGACACGTGATGGAAGGGGGGTGAGGGAGGCATTTTGCTGAAAATGAAACTGTGCCAGATGGGATAAAGAGGTGGTGCCTGGGCTTCGAGGTCTGGCTTGGCAAGAAAGGCTATGCTGGTTGGGAATGGGAGAGGAGAGAGGGAAGGGTCCCACCAACGGCAGCAGTGGAAAACTTAACTGAGAAAGGTGACTTGGTTGAAGATAAATATAGTCCACCAGTGCAGACGAGTGACTTTCTAGACAAAGATAGCAAGGAGCTGTGAGGAAGGGCATAGAGGCAGTAGGTTCTGCAAAGAAGAAAAAAGCACGCACACAAAGACGTAAACAAGATTTCATCGTGAAGGAACTGGCAGTTCCTCTGTCACTGGCATTTACGTTGCATTTCCTCCAGCCTTTATAAAACCTGGCTCCTCTAATTCATTCTAATTCCCTCTCTAATGATTCCACACGGCTCTTCCAGCGTGTGTGCGGGCAGTCCAGAAAGCAGGAGTTGGACAGTTTTTGACTGAAAGGAAATGTTTTAGGCACAGCTCAAAGCCTGTGGGAGTCAAGAGAAAGGGTTGAATTTGGCCTTTAAAAGAAACAGGATGCCAGGAGAGTCACATGAGTGCCTAAAACTTCTGTTTGAACAGAAGACGCATACGCCCGAGTTTGGTCTTGGCCACTAGCTGGAGCAGGCTGTTTTTAATTAATAGCAGGTGGTGGTTCACTCTTTTGGCAAGAGAGCAGACGTGAGTCAAAGTTTTAAGATATTAATGCAGTGTTTGCCTTTCTTAGTAAAAAACACAGTGTTTTGCAAACTGCTGTCTAGGACCACACCTGTAAAAACGCTGATGGGGACCTGGGCTCCAGGTAAAGCCCTACCAGCGGCGAAGGCTACCAGAATCCAGGGCTGTAGCAACAAGGGCATAAGCCAGTAGATCAAGGGAAGTGATTAATCCCCTTTACTCAGCACTTGTTAGGCCACAGCTGGAACGCTGCCTCCAGTTTTGGGGCCTCCTAATACAAGAAAGATGTTGATCAGCTTGAGTGAGCCCAGCTGAGACCACCAAGATGGGGCTGGAGCGTGCAAGCTGTGAGGAGAGGCTGAGTTACTTTAACCTGGAAAGGAGAAGGCTTAGGGGGGACCTACACCAGCCAACAAGTACCTAGGCATGGCTTACAGAGAATATAGCCGTGCTCTTCACTGAGGTATGTGGTGGGAGAATGTGATACAACAGTCTGGACGGGATATATTGGATATACTCACCCTGAATACAGTTAAGGATTGGAACAGGAGCCCAGAGAAGCTGAAGAATCTTTGTCCTTGGAGGTTTTCAAGACCCGACTAGACAAAGCCCTAAGCAACCTGGTCTAAATTCAGTGCTCTCCCAGCCTTGAGCAAGAGGTTGGACTATACAGTCTCCCAGAAATCTTTCCAACCCAAACATTTTGATGATATTCGTTGAAAGCACAAGTAGGACACAGTACACGTTTATACGGCAGTATGTTCCTAAAACACTGAATTACAATGCAATTGTTGAAAAAAAACCACCCAAAACAACTCAACACGGTAACCCACAACAGTACAGACCATAGCTACCAGAGCTCAGATCTTTTCTCACAAACTTTTGCAAAACAATAATCATCTTGGCAAAGACAACAGGCAAGAACTGTGTAAACCAGTGCTGTCTATTGAGTTTAAGAGACTTTGTGGCCAGCTTGGTATTCATCCAATAGATTTGCAGCTGTACACAAGTGTGATAAATAAACAAAATCAGGTGCCTTGTGCGAGCCACCTCAGATGCCATGACTTGCTCCACAGAAGAGCACAAAGCAATGAAAGAAAAGCCACTGTTAAAATAAGACTGATCTGAGAATAAATGAGATTAAGTTATTGACTGTGAAGAGTCTTACATTTTAAACAGAGATTACAGATTCTGCACTAGTCTTCCACTTGATTTAGATTTCCACTTCCGTCTGATTTAGGTTTTATCACTGCAAGAATAATATCATTCTGCCTTTCACATTAAGTAAGTTTTTTTTTTTTTTATAATGTTTCTCAACTAGATATCCTACACTTTAATTAAATTAAAATTGAAATAGCATCCTAAGAATATAGACCATTTAGTACCTGAGACACTAAGCATTCATTCTATTCCATAAAGAAATTAATTACGTGAGAGTCATTAAACAACTGTAATTCCTTACGGATTTAAATTAAGTTTTGAATTGGAAGAATAAAGTTCCCAGCTGATTTAAATTCTTTGAGATGGTAAAAATGAATTAATGATGTTAATATTCCATATGTCTGAAAATTGGTGCAGGAAATTAAAATCTGTGTTAAATCTAAAGGCAGCAGCATGGACGGAGACAGCAGAGTAACCTATTTCTATCCTATTTATTTTGTCATACTGAAGCCTGGAGTATTTTTGAATGAGTTGCAGTCCAAAGGTTCAAACTAGGTGCTGGTAAAATCAACGGCAGCCTTGGAACTGACTTCAAGTAGGTCAGGACTAGGATTCTCTGAATCACGTACTTTCTCCGTTTTCTGCAAGAAAAGCTCAGCTCTGTCTGGGAGAAATTTTTCCCAGCCTGATGAAAAGTGAGAATGATAAAAAGAGAACTATAAGGAATGATAAATACAGTATTTCAAAATTGGGCACCCAGCTGTTAATTATCATCATTGCCTCCACAATTTATGCATATTAAAATTATGCTGGCACTTCTCCTTCTGGGGAAATAGTTTGAAAGGTGATAGGCAAGAACAACCTCTACAGCACAGCACGTGGTTTGAAAACTCACACACTGCATCAATTGGGTAGGAGAGCCAATTTCCCAGATATATAAATCTGGGTTTAACTTCTGCAAGAAAAACACCCGCATCCATCCCCTTTATCATACTAAAGGGACATCTCTGTTGTCTCACAGCATCATGCAAGTAATCAAAACGAAGATGCAGGACAACTTCCAAACCAGCATAACCCCCATATAACCTTCTTTGCCCGGGTCCAGGGCTGTATTTTGGAACTAAATGGTAAAACACGAGCTCTGCTGAGGACATTGCTCTCCACTGTCAAAGCCAACCAAGTGCACAAGGTTCATTTTGGTTCCAGGAAAAAGACACTGATTAATTAAAATGCAAA